ACATTGGCAATGGCAATGTGGATATACCATACCATAATGTGGTTAACACATTATAATCACAAAAAATAATGGTGATGGTTTATACCACCTATAAAAATGGTGATGACTGGGGGATGGTTTATGATTGTTTTACCCACATGACAGGATCACAGAGATATTCTGATAAATTCTGTAGATTAGTTGCGCTGTAGCATTGCAATTTTATCTCCATTATACAATGGTTGGATTAACAAGAAGCGGTGAATGTACACTATGAATCGGTTATGTCCCAACCGATAATTGGGTCATATACAGTATTCATTTTAACCAGCAGCAGCTCAACAGCAGGGGTCCACTATGTTTTTTTTCTTTATATCCAGGGCTGATGTGTTTGTTTTGGTTTATTTTGTAACCAACAACAATTATGGGGGGTTTGGCCAAAATGATTTTTCTGACCAGCACACCTTCATAGGGCCGCTGTCAGCAACCCTGGTCAATTTTATCAGGCTTCAAATTAGGGATGTCAACGAAACCTTCTTTGCAAGCACACGTTGATTTCTCTATAAGCCATTCTTCGTGTCATTTCATGTCATTTTGTCCCAGGGAACAGCTTCTGACTATCTGTATTAAATTGGAATTTGTGCTTGCAGCACCTATCTCGCGGGAAGAAAAAACAACTTGTTGTCATTGCATTATTTTGGAACAATCTTTATTACAGATCATATGCCACAAAATCTATATCTCCGAACATGTGTACACGTATGAGATCAGGTGTCACATCCTAGGTCAGATCATACTGTATCTCAGCATATATCTTTGCATCTCTATATATATACAACGATTTTGTATAATGTTAATGTTCCCAATCTGACCAATCCATCATAGATCATATATAAACATCAAGTACGCGTTGAGCTTCTCATGAACGTTAACATCCCCTCGCCCCACTCCACAGCATCAGTAAGGGTGCAGCTGGTCCAGACCTGACCGGATATCAACATGATAAGTGAATTAACCGGGGGTTGCACAGATTGTGATTGTACCCCCAGATCTAAACGGAAAAATGGTCCTGTAATGACCCCTAATGTTTTCCAAGCCTGTCAAAACTGAGAAGGTTTACTCTGGGAAAGGATTGTTTTTGTAATAAGGCCTATTAATAAAGGTTCCAGTAATGAGCCTGTGGGCGCTAGCAAGACTTCAAATGGATCAAAGTTCCAAAAAGGCAAATGGTCCAAACCCAAATGATTTGGGGTTCTTCATCACCAGCAAAAGGCATTGCTCTTGGGAAGCCTTAATAAAAATCCCGGGGTTGCTGGGAAATTCCACCAAACACGGGCGTGCTAAAGCCCAAAAATACAAAACATGATCATAAACATTATTAAGGGAGATTGGATAATTTGGATATTCACCCCTGGGCAAGCCCTGAATTTGCTATTGTTTTCATCACGCCAGAAGCGGTCGAATGGCGAGAATCTCCGCGTCCGGAGCTTCCCAACCGTTGTCGTAGCGATCATCTCGATAGTATGGTCGTGTCATGGTCCTTCCCGGGACTACTTAGAAGGGTTTAATAAGCCTTAATAAGGGTTAACCTGGCCCTGTTATGCATAAATTTTGTTTTGGCGGTTCCCCTTTAACGACCATCATCCCCAAAGATTGTGGGTCAAACCCCAATAACTAAATTTAGCTATCCAGGCACAAACTAATACATAGGGAGCCTTAATAAGCCTTAACAAGGCCAGGATCCTAAAGCGGCTGTCAGCACTTCTGTCCCAAACACCGCAACAAACCGGTTTCCGCTTGGAAATTCTTATTAAAAAAATGCACCATATTTGGCGATTTGTATCTTTTAGAGGATGTGCAACAGACACAGAAGACATTTTTTCTTATTAAGCAATATTTTCATCATAACTCCAAAGTGCACTTACCACAGGTTCTCTTTCTTGAATCTGCACATCTTTTCACATGGGCATTCACAAAGCTTAAAAACTACTCACGTTAAGCAATGCATTTGACACCCTTTACAACAAAAGGCGGCCTTCAGTCACTCGTGGCACAACTTTCCATCTTTGGGTGGTTGCAACACATACACGACCACAACTCTCTTAATAAGATAGTTCCATCTCCACCAAAAAGTGTGCAAGAGAAATAATCCTTATGTAGGCCTTGTCAATTCCTACATAAGGACCAGTCCGTTTTGCACTATTTTCAAAAAACTTGTCCTCGCTTAGAAAGGGTTAGTAAGCCTTACCAATGCTTATCCAAGCTTTCCAAACATTAATAGTGCTTATTTAGTCAAACATGGTCAAACCATATATGTGCACAAAACCCATGGTTTTCTATGTAGATCTGGGGGTACAATCTGTGCAACCCCCAGTTAATTCAGCTATGACATGATCAACATTCTCATGGAAAATAGTTTCACCGTGCCACCGTGTGCGTTAACGTGAGGACATCATCACCGTCGTCATCGTCATCATCATCATCATCATCATCATCATGATCATCACTTTTACCCAATGATAGGATTATTTTTTATTGTCAGCTGTGCGCACGATTTCTTTTGTCTTCTAGATATTAACCTTCTTTTCTCTGTTACTAATTTGTATCATTCTTGCATCAATATTATTGCTTTGTATAAGCTCTACTGAAATGAACCCTCTAAGGAACGCTGAAACCCATCCTTCACCCATCCCCCCAGAACAGAAAAATCATGTTCTCCTATGCGGTTCCTAGCAGCAGCGCTAGGCAAAACTGAGGTCTTAAGCAACAACATGTTTGGACATGTTTTCAGCAGCCAAAGTTGGCATGTATTGTAACTGCCATGGAAAGGAGACACAGATGACACAGCTGATGTGATTGGATAGTGGCTTCAAACATGTTCGGCTTTCTATTCCTAAAGATGCGATGATGACCGAATTGATAAAATAAAGCTTTTCTGAATGGTTTAAAATTAATAACACTCGACGTGGAGGCAGCGAAAAACCTCTCAAAAAAAGTGGCGAGCTTGCTTCAAGATATCCAATGGGTATATAACTGGACATAAAACATTTAAAACTTATTCTTGATTGCTGCGCTGTGGAAAGGCGACTTCTCAACCATATTTTTTGAAAGATGTCAGTCAGATAGGGTCAATAGATGTGCTTTAAAGCATACGCATGCAATGCAAACCCGACCGCATGTCTTTAAGTGGACTGCTACACAACAAATCAGATATGGAGCCCTAACCATCCGAACCTTCAAATTTCAGGGTCTACATTTGATTATATGAATCATATGGGGTTGCCGCATTCTCTCCCTGATCGCGACATCGAAAGTGCCAGCTTTCCAGAAGAGTAGCAGCCCAGAAGCAGTGCTTCGATGCACGTCTGGGGGTTCCAAGATTCCTGGAGTAATCAGTGTTGGAGGTTGCGATTAAGAGACCTTTGAACAACGAGATCCCAAGAATCAAACCTGGAACCAAACTCAAAAAATTGGTGTCGGCACAAAGGGCAAGCACCCAGCACCCAGCCATAGCTGGGGGTAGTTGAAGATTGCAGGCGAAAAATCCGGCATGAGTTGGACTGATCACAAAAGGCAAAAAAGGCCAAGAGCCAACAGAGACGACCTCTGGAACAAGGCCGTCGCCCGGATGCAAGTGTAAAACATACAAGACATATTGAGGTTGTCCACCGAAAAAAATGACCAACTTGTGCTGGTCCACGTTCCCCACTTCCGAATTGGAATGGTGTGACAATATGCGCGCGTGCGTCTTGCCCTGCGAGGAAACTGAGGGTTTGGGGAAAGAAACTTTCAACTTAAACTATTTTTTTTTAGAGTTCACCGAATGATGATTGAATCGCATGAAATCGTATATGAAATCATTCCAGTATTCGATGTAACCTCATGAGGATTGTGCCGAAGGCTTCCCCATGCCTGTCAAAGCACCATGCCAAGAGCTTGTTCCCATAGACGGCCAGAGCCGGGTGGAGAAAGATCCAGGCAGCACTCTTGGGCGAGGCTGGTTTTTCTCCGTTGTCTCTAAAACAATCTAAAATAGAAAATCAATAGAAAATAATAGAAATAGGCTATCTATATATATATATATAAAGGTATATAAAGCAAGGAAACGAGACAATGGGAAATCCTCAAGTTTCTGCCGTTTCTCAAGACAAAATTAGCCGTATTATGCCATATCATGCCATATCAATCTCTAGATGAAAGGTCATTGCTAGATTGGACGGGAGTGACCAAGGCTGGCCTGGAAGTGGAGTTGAGCCGTGGCCTGGAGCGGGCCTGAGGATGATCATTTTTCGGTTCTTCTGGTGACAGGGTTTCCCATGGTTTTTTCCATGCTTTTCCCACTTGGAAGTTGGATGAAGCCAGGTTCAAGGAAAGGTGACATCAACGAATCTGCTATTGACGGAGACTAGTCTAGTCACAGAACAGCTTGGGATGTTGCCCATCATTACGCCCGTCCATGCGCACGCTTTTGCAAGAAGACAAGTAAGTATGGTATGGGGAGCAGATAGATGCTGCCAGTGTCTGCCATTAAATGTAGCATGGAAGTCCAAAAGCATCCAAGAGTGGAGGTGGAAGACATTTTTGGGATCTTAACATGTGACAAGAACGCGATGCATGATTGAAACGCCGGGGAGTACGCGTATGAGTACCTTTCAAGAAATTTCTACCTTCATCAGTTGGATTTAGAGTGACCATTAATGACCAAGCATTGGCCGAACTGTGATCATGTCTGAATCTTTGGCTCAGCCAGGGAAGTGGATAGGGCCAGTTGCTCTCCTCCTCCTAAGCTGTCACTAGCTTGCATGCGCTTGCACCACTCACATTCAACACCACTTGACATGTGCTGATGTATCACTGATCATCTACAGGTAGCAGCTAAGTCGATTATGCAGCTTGATGTCGGCGAGTCAGGTCAAGGAATGAGTTTGGGACTGGGTCTCCTTGTTTTCAGGCGGATGTTCCAGTATACCACAGGGGGTCCCTGATTCACAAGCAGCCACACACGCCAGTTCCGCACACCTTGCCGCCTCACATTTGACACCGGACGCGGGGATTCAGCACTTCGCCGCGAGTTCCTTGGACGATGGGGTGGGAGTGGTGTGACAAGAAGCTACTGGGCTACCTACTTGTAGCAACAAGCAGCACACAATATTTATATCTGCATATGATATCTATACCTATATCATTCTATATCTATATCTATATCTACATCTACATCTATATCTATATCTATACGGGATATATATATATATATATGTATCTATATCTATATATATATACCTACATATATATATTAATATACATGTGTACAATTGTGTGCATCTATACGCATCTATATCTACTCACTTTTTAGCACAAACACAGAGAACTGCAAACAACGATGATAGCAGATCCACATTAACAGGAGTGCTTAGAAGTGGCGGCGGTTTTCAGTGATTTTGCTATGTGAGCGCCCTGCGGATGCCGCATTCACAAACAAACACCACTCTTTGGACTGTGAATCCAGGTGTTTTCCCGCGGATCATGACCATCATGGAAGCGGTGAGCAAGGAGGAGTAAAGAGACTGGATGCTGCTTCCTGAAAGGGTATTCTATGGATCAACATGATATAATGGGATGCGAATAGACCTCCAGGTTTTGACCCATGAAACCAAAAACTTCTCACAGCAAAAGCAATGGCAAGCCGCGTGCGAGGACGAACCCTTTACCAACCTCTATGTCAAGTGCTTTCCTTCGCACTTCAAAGAGCATTTGGGCAGAAGTTGAAGCTTTGGGAAGATGTCGGATGTAAAAAACAAGAGTTGGTAAATGCCCCCAATTTGATTCATGATTGTTGGGTGTGATCCGGGTGATCCCCCAATTCTCCCAGAGTGATGTTCAATAGTCAACGTTTCAGATTATTTCTCCATATTTCACCCCACAATCTGCCCATCCGTATCCACTGCTTTTGTTGTGAAGGCAAGACCTCTGCGAGCTCTTTGATGGCTTTGGCCCCATTCAGGCTGCAAAGGCGCGTTATCACGGATTGCCTTGCCGCAGTTTCTTGGGCTGTGATGAATGATGCCTTGGTATGGTGCAAAAATAATACACATTTGTTCCGGACTATCCCAAAGATCAGATAGATCAGTCGCTTTCCCCTGCTTGAGACTTCTTGAGGTTGCCATTGACCCACACCTTCTCACACCATCTTATCTCACACCCCTGACTGCAGATCATGACGGACCAGCGGGGGCGTCATTTTGGTTTCGTCAATTTTGAACAGCCAAACGATGCCAAAGAGCGCCTTGGATCGCGCTGTCGGCAGCAGCTATAGACAGCATGTGGCCCACAGCCATAATTTTATCCGAATTAAGAATATGAAGCAGCTGCAGGCTATAGAAAGCGGTGCTCTCATTTTGCCCTACTACTTGGGGCATTCTAGATATGAATCATCACTTGAAAGAAACACATAGGAAGTCGCATACCTCATGCATCAAGGTGGATTACTTTTGTTTCAGGCCTACTCAAAGCCACCGGTTTCAGGGTGACAATTAAGGTTTCTTCATGTTCCATCCCAGAATGGAGGAAATTGAGGAAATTAATCACCTCATTTTAGTGTGAAGCTACTAGCAGATCTAGCTACTGAGGTGTGTGAAAATGATGCATTGCAAAGACCTTCGGACTCGTAAAGAACAGCGGGAGGCCAGAGTTTCCCGGAGTTCCCTGCGATTGCCTGGCAGGCGGTCCAGGTCTAGACCATGACCACCTCAGTATTTATAGTATTTTTTTTCAGTGGGGAGCCATGGCACGTGGGCTAGAGTCGCGCCTTTTAAGATATAAGATGATATAAGTATAGCAAATTGATGCAAATTGTAAATTGTAACTCACAACTCACAACATTCTAACATTCTACTGTGACCGAGCGGCCTTGCCAACTAACGAGTCATCAATGGGGATGCTCTCCCACGCAAATGTGAGAGCCATACCCCCTGTCGTGCTAGCTTCATTTCCAAAAAGAGGACCATGGATTAATCGAACTGAGAAAACCAGGAAACCAACAAGTCAGTTGCCCAACTTGGTGCATCCCCTTTGTTCCTCAACTCAGCTGCCCTGCCAGGCAAAGAAATTGGAGGCCGAAGGCAAAGCCCCACCGGTGAAGTTGGATGTGGATGGCCCCTGGGCGACTAACTTTGGTAGGCTGCAAGATCGCTGGTGGCGAATATGTAGAAATGATAAGAAATGCGGAAAGCAGTCATTGTGACAGATTTTGACAGATTTGACACACACACACATATATATAGATTCTGTCCTCAAGGTGACCCTCAATCCTTAGCAGGCATCAGATTAAAAGACATGTTTGGGGCAAGTATTGATCTTTCAATATGTTTCAATGTTTTTTTGATGATAGATATCTTTCAATCTTCCTGGCTTGGTTATCCCTATGCATCTTTGTTACTACACGCATCTGAGAATCGGCTTGCTGAGGACATCCTGAGCATCTTCTTTATGTCAGCCGTGCCCAGAAGAAGGAAGAGCGGGAAGCAATGTTTCAGAAACAGTGCCTCAGCTGGAATGATATCTCTTGACAAATTTGACAATTTCAACTGGTCAACAAAAGCCCACATCCAAGAGGAACATCATCTTCAAGGCTGCCAACTTCTGGGACCACCCAAGCCATGTGCAACATTTTGTGCTTCAGCCAGCCTCGACGTCCCAGGCTTGCCGAGAAGGGACTCTTGAACCTCGTCTGCAGGGACGGCAGCGATTGATTCACCAAAACCTCACCTCTGTCTGTGCTTGTTCTCCTTGACCAAAAGGGATTCTGCTGCACATTTCTTCCCCCATGCATCCCCATGAGCACGGAACTCCTCAGGAAAGGTGCGGCCAAAGGAAAGGGCAAAGGAGATGGAAATCCACGTGATCCCCGCGATCTCCGTGATCCGCGGGATTTGCGGGATACACGAGATCCACGAGATCCACGAGATCGGGATCCACGCTGGAAGCTGAGTGGGGATATCCCTTGCGAACTGGTTTGGAAACGGGTATCTTCATGAAACGAAGTATATTATATACTTTTATATACTTTTATATACTTTTATAACATACCATAATAGACCTCAAAACTGTCATTGTGCTCCGTTATTCTCAAGAGACTTAAATTCGGATCGAAGTTGGAACCATTTTTTCCGGGATTATTTTGGCTCCGACATTTCCCGAAAGTGACCAACTGAGGTGATGGGTTTGGCAAGGGTGGGGTACAGCCTCTGCAGTGCCTTGGAAAAAAAGGTGGAGGTCATCCAACCTGAGTGCGGCAAACCCATGAAAACCTTACCCATCCAGGTTAGATTACTGGGGTGATTAGGTAAATATATGGTAAATATATGATAAATATCAAGATGGGGGTTACCATGGATGGAGATGAGTACAATACATATTCATACATATTCTACAAAGCGAGGTGCGATTCATCCCACTCAGGCATCCGTATTTCCACTATAATCTATCCCTATCTAATTCTGGGGCGACATTTTGGCTATTAACCATGACGTATCATGAAGCAGGATAATAAGATACAATAAGCGGGCTGTATCAGCCAAGGGTTTCATGAATCAACAAGGCTGTTGAAATTCTAGGGATACTTTTAAGTCACTTTAAGTTTATCAAGCCAGAATAGGTCGGGACATCCATTGGTTGAGAGGCGCTCATTACAAACATCATGAGAAATCCTAATACGGAAACCCTGTCCACCAGCAATTATTGGTGGTATTACATGGTATTGCTATTGTCAGCAGTGCAGTCAACTCATGACCCGCCATACCCTCTGGATCCTGTGTACTTCTACCTGGCCATGAGGAAAAAAAACAAATTGATATTGGCAGCATCATCTATTTACCGATGATTTTCCTAGAATTGATGACTTTGATATACTTTGGTGACTTTCCTGCCAGACATGAGGGACTTGATGTTGATTTCCATTGCAATTGGGTCATGGGATGTCCGTGATCTCACCTCGAGTCGAGGTCCATCCCCATGGCAACCCTGCCACGGCCGCACACGCCCACGCTGGTCGATGTACCCAGCTCCAGTGGCAACTGGAGCACCCCCCTGTACTCGCAGTATGGCAATGGAAGCAGCTTGGGGCCCCAAGATCTGGAAGTCCAGTGCTGGAGAGTAGGGATGGTACTGGTAGCCGAAGCTTGATGCTCATGGATACTGATGGTCCACAAGACATACATAGAATTGGTTGATTTGGACAGGAAGGGAAGGAGGGAGACAGACAGACAGACAGACAGACAGACAGACAGACAGACAGACAGACAGACAGGACACAGACAGACTTATGTATGTACATACATACCCATCTTCCTACCTAGATAGATGAACAAATAGATAGGTGGGGAAAACTTCATACGCACATACATACATAGATACCCACATAATCACACATACACACACACACACACGCATACCATTACACACGATATGATATGATATGATATGATATGGTATGATATGATATGACATGATATGATATGATATGGCATGATATGACATGATATGATATGATCGAAGGAAGTTTAGAAATCAAACTTCCGACAATATGGACAGATGGAAAAGCAGAGCAGGGCAGAGGCAGAGAGAAGAGGAAGATTAGAAGAGAGAAGATCAGAAGAGAAAGAGTAAGAGGACAGAAGATACAGATGCGCGAAAAGGTAGGAAAGTCGCGAATCACTGTGTTTTTCCAATGATTTGTGGCTCCGGAGGGTTGAAAAGTAGGCTCGCCAAAGCGGCGGGTGCGGAGCCACGTGGCCAGATGCGAGAGGAAAAATTGCACGCCATTGTGGCGTGAAGCACCGTCTATGTCTCGTGGACCCACAGTGGCATCAGGACCCAGCCTTTGCGACATTCCCGCACCCGGAGTTCTACGGCAAACCCATCATCTTGGAAACGGAGCCGGACCAAGAGGTTTTGGGCCGTCGAAAAAGTGCACGCCGTTGTGGCGCGAAGCACATTTTGAAGTCAAAAAAGCAAAAAACTGACGGGTTCGGAGCACTTTTGGACGTTCAGATGTCCTTTTGCGTGGCAGGCGCAAGGGATTATGCACTTTGTCAAAAGTGAGCAAAAGGTGATGGTTTGTAGCAGTTTCAACTACAACCACTACACTACAACTACAACTACAACTACAAGTACAAGTACAACCACACTACATTACACTTGCAGTGGGGGACCAGAACTTAGAATATGAAAAATTAAGATTTACAAATAAATAAATAGTAGCTCCGAACGTTGATTTTATTTGGATTAAAAACAATCTAGCACTTAGAATATGTAAACAATGATGTCTTGATTTTTGCAACATCGAACCTAATGAATAACAATGGTTTTTGCAAGGTTGTGGATTGCTGATATGTATTGCAAAATAATTGTGTTTTTGGTGATACGTATTGCAAAAGAATGTTTATCTATTGTTACGGACATGTTATTTTTCATATTCTATCTGCATTAATGCTGATACGTATTGCAAAATAATGGATATCTATTGTGCGGAAATGTTATTTTTCATATTCTATCTACATTAATGCTGGTACGTATTGCAAAATAATGGTTATCTATTGTTACGGAAATGCTATTTTTTCAGATTCTATCTGCATTAATGCTGAGACGTATTGCAAAATAATGGTTATCTATTGTTACGGAAATGTTATTTTTCAAATTCTATCTGCATTAATGCTGATACGTATGGCAAAATAAAGGTTATCTATTGTTACGGACTGGTTGCAGGCTATTATGTATATACAGTATTTATATATATATATATATGCGGTGAGATTACAGTACTGTAAGTGTGGATTGCTGATATGTATTGCAAAGTAATTGTGTTTTTGCTGATACATCTTGCAAAACAAAGTTTATCTATTGTTACGGAAATGTTATTTTTCATATTCTATCCTGATATGTATTGCAAAATAATGGATATCTATTGTTACGGAAATGTTTTTTTTCATATTATATCTGCGTTAATAAACAAGGTATTCTAACTGCTTTCTCAACCAAATAAAACAGCTAAAAAACCATATGCTATCTGATATCTTAGTCAAATAATTTATAATATTCTAGGTGGTAGCCCGCTATAGTACACTACACTAATTTTTTATTACACTGCACTCCACTACACTACATTACGCTCCACTTCACTACACTACACATAATTACATTATACTATACTACACTACACTACAGCTACAGCTACAGCTACAGCTACACTACACTACCCTACAC